AAGCAAACAAACATAATAAACTGTGCAAACACACACACACGCATGCACACACACAGACTGCACACATATAAATACCACACAAACACACACATAAACAAATACCACACACACACACACACATACAATTAACAGTGCAAACAAACATTAAACAGTGCAAACACACACACAGACTGCACACATGTAAATACCACGCAAACACACACAAAAACACCACACACAAACATAAACACCACTCACAACACACACACACACAGACTGCACACATGTAAATACCAAACAAACACACACACATAAACACCAAACACACAAAAACAAAAACCACACACATACAATTAACAAACAAACATAAAAAAAAGTGCAAACACACACACACACACACACACATAAATACCTCACACACGTAAAAACCACACAAACACACGCATAAACGCAACACACACATAAACACCACACACAAATAAACAAATTCTACGCGCACACAGACAAAATTTCTGCACACACCTTAAACTACACAAACACACATATAAACAAATACCACAGATACAGAGACATAAATACTGCGCGGACATATACACCACACAAACACACACACACTTACACACTTGCAAAAACAAATACCACCCTAACACACACACACATAAACACTGCCCACATTATAACAGATCACACACACAAACACACACACAAACGTACAAAACACTAACTGAGATCTTTCCCTCAGGGCACAAAAGCAAACACAGCAGCCGCCACAGGAAGAAAGGAACCGATCTGAGCGAAATCCAAAGTGCCATTGAGTCCATCCGGCAAACCCAGGAGGACATTAACAGGTGAACCGCAGCTCTGGGGAAATCAGTACAGCAGAGTATTAGGATATTTTAGTTATCTAAAGTTAAATAAAACATTAAAAGGGGAGCTATTATGGAGAAATCTCTTTTATAAAGGGTTTAAACACAGTTGTGTGTCAGCAGTGTGTGAATATAAGCAGCCTCTAATGCTAAATATCTATTAATTGTATCGTTTGTAATCCGACTTCATAGAAACAGCCTGCAGAAACATTTGTACGCATCATCAAAGGGAGAAAGCCCCGCCCACTAGTGACCATCTCTTCCTCATTAGCATATTACGTCGGTCTTGTTTTTGAATCTGCCACTATGCTGACACATTGGAATGTGTAGCTCCGCCCTCTTTTAAAAATGTTTTCAAATAAATACTTGCTAGTATAATAAAAATCGTGAATGCTAACAGTTTTATTGTGTCGTCCAGGAGCGTCAGTGCGCTGAGGAGTCGCATGGCCAGTCAGACGTCGACGGAAAGTTCGTTTCTGACGCACCGAGACATCGCCATCATCCTCTTCCTCATCTTCCTCCAGGTCCTGCTCAACTTCATCTTCAAGTAACGCCACAAGCATTCAGTATCAGCTCACGACACACTGACGTTTCATTCGCCACGTTTTTATCAATTCGTGTTGTGAGCGCTGGGAAAAGGATGGCAATACGGTTGAAGTGCATTGTGGGATGTTTTTCGAAATGACTGTTTACTTTTTGTCCTTCAAAAAGAGGAGTTATCATCAGCCTCCAAATGTTGTTTTAATTTATTGGAGTAATATTTTTAACAATGTTTTTACATCGGCGCCCCCTGCTGTGGCGGAGGATGCTAGTCGATATACAAACGGGAAATCTCTAGGTCATATTTTGATTGAAGATATGCATTTTATTGCCTGTTTTTTTAGAGTTATGATATTATTTTCATGACCAATAAGCACATTTCAACCCCGATTCTCATTGTGTGGACTGCAAAAAAAGAAGAAACTCTTGTTACTATAATCTACAACGTATGCTGTATTATTAGTATTTGTGATAGTATTCATATTACTGCCTTTACC